GCCGAGGCAGACTGAGGCTGAGGCCGAGGCAGGCTGAGGCTGAGGCTGAGGCTGATACTGAGGCAGGCGGAGGCTGAGACAGGCTGAGGCTGAGGCTGAGGCAGGCTGCGGCTGAGGCCGAGGCAGGCTCAGGCCGAGACAGGCTGAGGCTGAGACTGAGGCTGAGGCTGAGGATGAGGCCGAGGCAGGCCGAAGCTGAGACAAGGTGAGGCTGAATGGGTGGGGCGAAGGGGGGGGGAGGAGGGGAGGCTGAGGCAGGCTGAGGCCGAGGCAGGCTGAGGCCGAGGCAAGCTGAGGCTGAGGCTGAGGCAAGCCGAGGCAGGCTGAGGCTGAGCTGAGGCTGAGGCTGAGGCTGAGGCTGAGGCTGAGGCTGAGGCTGAGGCAGGCTGAGGCTGAGGCAGGCTGAGGCTGAGGCTGACGTGGGCTGAGGCCGAGGCAGGCTGAGGCTGAGGCAGGCTGAGGCTGAGGCCGAGGCAGGCTGAGGCTGAGGCTGAGGCAAGCCGAGGCAGGCTGAGGCTGAGGCTGAAACTGAGGCAGGCTGAGGCATCCGTAGGAATCCATAGGAATCCTCAGGAATCCCTAGGGATCCTTGGGAATCCGTAGGCGTCCTTAGGAATCCGTAGGCATAGTTAAGCATCCTCAGTAATCCTTCCTGATTCCTAAGGATTCCTAAGGATTCCTATGGATTCCTAAGGATGCCTACGGATGCCTTAGGAATCCATAGGAATCCTTATGATTCCATTGGATCCTAAGGCCGTTGCCACTCTGACTGTCATTGCGAATGCGACTGCGACTGCGAGAACAGAATTCTACAACTGGATTCTCACCTGAATCTTAATGGGAATGCTTCCAGATATTCGTATACACATCGCTGTTAGGTTGCTTTGCCGGGATAATTTGTCAAGAAGTGGCATGCCCCTACCCCGCTCTGCGAGATGTAGACGTGGCCCATGTTCACAATAAGGCGACAGAGAGTTGCCCATGTATGTCCAACATGGGCAGTCACGCTTTTGTGTGGTCATGGTCGGACAGAGGTATAAGATCGAGGTCGGTTCGGGGAGGGCCCCGGACTGGCCTGTTGAGTGCTCCTGTACATCCTTGTGGAAGGTTCCCTCGAATGTTCTTTAGTTTGGCCAGCGGGGGGTCTTATGTTCTTGAAGGATGTTCTTTTGTCCTAGGTCCTGCCGCAGGTGTCGATTATAACGCAACCATCATCGCTGCGCTGGCGGCCCTGGGCGCGCTGCGTCCTCTCGCAGCCTCCGACCCCGCCGGCGGCGGCGCGGCCAGCGCAGCCGCGGGCGCCTCCGCACCGATGTGCGCCCGAGCGCTGCTGCTATTCGGCGCCGCCCCGCCAGGGCCCTTCCGGGCGCAGCTGGCCTCGCTGCGTGGGCGGCGGCGCGGCGGAGGCCTGCGGCGAGATCCGAAGCTCACAGGCAAGCTGCTACCATGAGGAGCGAAGGATTGCAAAAAAACCGAAGGATTGCAAAAAAACGAAGGATTGCAAAAAAACCTTCGTTCGAGTAAGGAAGGAAGCCCCTTCTTGGCCCCCAAGAGCGCCTGCGTGGACGAGGAGTGCCAGAGAAACAGCCATGGAAGGAGCCAAGGAACATCGAGCCCCTTCCGAACCCAAACTGTTCCTTATTTCAGCGTCGTGACTGCACCCTCGCCGATCAACGGTTCAGGCAACTCGATGGGTGGCGGGGGCGGCGAGGAGAGGGCCAAGGGCGACGGCGACGGCGTGGGCGACGAGGACGGGGGCCAAGGGCGACGAGGAGGAAAGCGGCGACGGCGTGGTCGACGAGGGCGGGGGCCAAGGGCGAGGACGAGGGCGGCGAGGAGCAGAAAGTCGGCCGAAGGGTGCGCGGCGGCTGGAGGCGGATGGTTCGGAGTTCGTCGCCGAACGTGGCGAAATCCGAAGTCTACCCTCGCCTCCCGTCGAGTCTGGATGTCGCCACCTACGAGGGAGCGGGCGGGGCTAGGACGAGGATAGATCCGTTCCAGAGCGTTCCGGAACGCTCTCAGAGCGTTCCGGAACGCTCTGAGAAGGCTGCGGCGCCCGAGACATCCTCCAGAGCCGCCGGATCTCAAAGATTCGATTCATCCTCACCCGATTTCATCCTCGTCTTGGCCTCGTCTTAAGGGACGCCCGGCTTCCGCGCGCTCCACGTGGTCGGCGCGCGCGACGACGTGAACCCGCCGCAGGGGGGCCTGCAGGTTGCGCCCGCGCGCGGCGGCGGGAAAAGGCCCCCGGAGGTGTGCAGGGGCCTCTCGGAGGCTCCTCGGGGTCCCCCGGAGGCTCCCCGAGGCCTCCAGAAATCCAAGCAGTGGCAGTTGCGTCGTAAAGCCTCGATGCCTCGATCCTCGGCCCCCCTCCGAGGTGGCGGCCGCGCTCGGCGGGGACGTCCTCGAACACCCCGGCAGGCACGAGTGCCCCATGGACGGCCAGAGCCTCGCCGCGTACCGGCGGTTCCTGGCGGAGGCCGTGGGACCGTCCGCGTAGCGCTGGTGGGGTTGGCCGCCGCGCTCGGCGGGGGCGACCTCGGGGCGCCCCGGCGGGCACGAGCGCCCCGCCGCGTGACGTGGCGGTTGTCGGCGTGGGCCGCGGGGCCCAGGGCGGCAGTGGGCGGGCGGAGCTGTGCGGGTGAGCGCCGTGTGGGGCGAGGCGGGCGTGCAGAGCGGCAGCGCGCCGAGCCTCGTGGTCACCGAGGTGGTTGTCGGCGGCGAGCCCGGGGGGGAGTGAGCCAAGGGAGGGGGGAGGTGAGAAGGGGCGGGCCTTCTCAGAAGGCCTCCGGCCCCCTGAGAAGTGTTCTCGGCTGTTCCCGACGACACAGAAAACCTCTCAGAAGGCAGGCGGCCTTCTGAGAAGCTTCGCCGCCTTCTGAGAAGCCTCCTCCTTCTCACTTCCGCCGAGATTTAAGAGGAGATCGATGACCCGACTTGCCTATTGCAGAGGTTGCCGACCCCTTGAGCAACGCAATGGCCTTGCGGACTACATGTTCGGCACGACCAGCGGCTACGTTGACGACATCAAGGTCGGCAAGCAGTCGCGGGGTCGACTCTACCAGATGAATGAAGACTGGGATCTAGAGCAACTCACTCGGGATGTTGCGGAGGAGGGCAGGGCGGTGTGACAGGGTCGATTGGGCCAAAGTCCGTGATTTCAGTCTTTCTTTGCCATCCGCGCAGCAGTTCCCATTGCTGCCACGTCCTTCTCCCTCCGCCTTCCCCCCTCCTCCTCCACAGCCGTTTCGGCTCAACCTGCTTGCACCGAACGGGCTCCGCGCCGCCGTGCCAGGCCAGATACTTCTGGTCCGCAGCAGTCCCGCCGACCCTTCTCCCGGTGGAGCTGCACGGAGGCCTGAATGCTCGGCCTTGGCGAGTTGGCGCAGGGGCGGGCCAGGCCCCAATCCTTTCGGAGAGCGGCGCAGGGGGCCGAAGTTCCAGAAGCTCCACGTGCGTGAGCTGTTTTTGCTGGGCGTGCGCTCCCGCGGCGCCGCTTGAGGGGCTGTGTCGCGACACGTCCGACATCATCGCTGGCGTGGTTGGCCCCCCGTTGTCCGATCCTCCCGGCAGGGCGATCTGGGCTCTGAGGCCCAATTCAGCACGCTTCGCGCGGCCAGCAGGCGACGTGAGCGGTGAGCACGTGGCCCTGTGCTATGGAGCGACGGCCCTGGTCAAGTCGCTCGCGACGGCGGGGACTCTGTAATTCTCACGTTGCCCCGTCGAGCGATGCTCGGAGGCCCCTCAGAAGTGTTCATTGATTATGCTGGCACTGTTGGTTGCTTGAAGGATCCCGCAAGCACTCGGGGGCCCCAGAATCCCAGGGCGCAGTGGTTGAGCGTAGGCGTAGTTGGCGATCGCCTTAAGGGATTGCTGGTCACAAAAGTGAAAGCTCACACTACGGTGGCCCAAGTGCTTGACGGTAGGATCACCTATCAGCAACGCGCGGGTAATGAAGTTGCTGACCAGCTTGCAAAGGATGCTGGTCAGGCCCATAGGTCCCTTGTGGAGGTCCGTAGGTGCCTGCACGCACAGGTACCTGGAGCTGGCCCAGAGAATGTACCGCTTCGCTGCCCCAGTTGAGGCGAAGCTTGAAGACCTCACCAGATGACGATAATGCTTAACGCCATCCTGGGGCTGTCTGTGCTTCATTGGCGAGAAAGCCTCTTGTGAAAAGGCCTCAACACTGCACGGCAGCAACCAATCCGACGGCGATATCCATGGGTACGACTTCTGGGTCACTGAGGCCATGCCCTCACCCCGATGGGCCGTGGAGGCGGTTGGGGCACCAGCTCTTGGAGGTTGATGCGCTGGACCCACGTTCGCGAGCCTCGAGGGACAACTCCTGATTCGCACGAGCGGGGACGCGTTTGCCAATGCCCTCCTCGCGAAGAGGGGGACCGTTTCAGAAATGGCTGCAGTCCCGAAGGGACCTGCGTCCCTGCGACTCGGACCTGCGGTGCCGCCTGGCCTCGGTTTTGAGGAGGCGGCACCTCGCATCTCAGGACGAGTGGGCCCCCTGGTCTGAAGCCCGGAGCCGGGGCCTCGAGAGGCCCGGCGTTGGCCTCTCGGGTTCTTCGGGGCCCACGGTATCCCACGTTGGCCCCTGCGGTTTCGCCCGCCCCATGGCAAGCTTGGCGGGGCGGGCCGGCGGCCAGACCTCCAGAGAGGGCTGGCGCTCTCGGCATTTTCCTGGGTCCGTGGGGCTCGGGGCCTGGGTGCGGGACCATGCCCGACAGCGTGTTCGCAGTGGTCGCGACGCCCCCCCTCTCTGCCTGGAGGAGTGGCCCAGATCCGATCTCGAGCGGACGGTCGCGCTCGGCTCGTGCTGCTGCTGTCCTTCGTGTTCCACATGTCATCTTAGTTGGGTCGCACCTGACCATTGGATCGCAGCGTCCCTCCCTCCTTGTTCTCCTCGTTCCCCCCTTCCGTCCCTCCCTCTCTGCTCAGCTTCTTCCCCTCCTCACGCCCCCTTCCCCTCCTGCTTTCATTCCTCTCCTTTCCCAGTTTCCCGCCCCCCCCCTTCCTCCTCCACCACCTTCTCCTCCTCCTCTTCCTCCTCCTCCTCCTCCTCTTGTTCCTCCCTTCTCCTCTTGTCCCTCTCACCAGATCCCTCTATTTATTCCTCCTCCTCCTCTCCTCCTCCTCTTCCGTACACCGCACTCACATCTATACCCCTGGGTGGGTGTATACCGCTTGAGACATCCTCACAACTCAGACCTCGGAGGTGTCCTGCCCCATGGTCGTCTGGTCACCTTGACCAGCGACATCCTCGCCACTCTGGTTTCCAAGATGCCCTGCCCCATGGTGATCCGGCCACGCTTGCCTGAGACATCCTCGGAACTCTGGGTTGCGAAATGCCCCGAGCTCAGGTGGTCAGGCCACTATCGCCTGCGACATCTCTGCGGCATGTGCGGGCATGTGCGTCTATGCTTTCAGAGTTTTGCTTGACCGTGCATTCGACTGTGCGTCGGACGGTGTGGCATGTGCGCGCATGTGCGGCAATGCTGTTGAGGCTTTTGTATATTTGCATGGGCATGTGCATGCGACTGTGCGGCATGTGCCTGCATGTGCGGCCCCTTCCGGACCACAATTTCAAAGTGAGCACTATAGAAGTGAGCGCTATAGAAGTGAGTCCGGTGTAGCCATTGGGGCTCAAGATGTTTCAGCCCCGCGGCAGGAAGCGGAGACCTTTGGTCCAGGGCCAGCTCGGGACCCAGTTTTGTCACGCTGCGCCCACAGCGTTGGCCTTCATATCTTTCGATATCCACGTGCAGATGCCTGTCTCTGTGGTTGGCACGGTCCACCTGTTCCCGCCATGCGTGTCGAGGATGAAAGTAAAACACTGCTCGCCGCAGCTGGAGCCCTCAAAGGAGCCGCTGCAAAGGACTGGACCCGTGGGCGGAATCGGCGTCAAAGTTCGGAGCAGGAGCCCTTCCTGCACACGTTCGCAGGCAGCTCGAGGAGGCCCTGTCATAAGAAGTCAGATCAGCAACATCCCAGTTCGAAGCAACATCAAAAAATGCCATTGAAGCGGCTCGCGTCAATTTCATGCAGTCTGCCACCCCCATCGCGAAGGAGTTCGTGGAGAAGACTGACAGGTAGAGGATGGACTTCGCCGATCAGACGTACAGGGAGATCAAAGACTCGGTTGTCAAGCTCGAAGCAGTGCTCGCCACAGCCGCAGCACGTGCGCCATCCATCAGTTTCGCCTCCTTCGGCACCTGGGACTGCGAACCCGATCCTGTCACGTTCTGGTGCGGCTGCGCTGTCCCCATGGCCCCATGGCTGAACATGAGCTACGTGCCGCACGCGCCGATGGGTTCAAAGCCGCCGAGGCCGACCCCGCCCAGATCGCTTTCATCACAGCAGGCCCCTTCAAGAGACACTCTTTCTCGGTCACAGGTGGCGCCCTCGTCGTCGAACCCAGAGCCCGAAGACTTCATGAAGTTCTCCGCATCGGCAAGGCCTGGCGAGACTTCAATATCATGGTGGCTGGATTTTCTTACGTTATTTATGTCCGCGGGGACAAGAGCCTCAAGATGGTACGCAGGGAGGTGCAAATCAAGAAGTCGGCGAGGTTCGCGCTCACCGCTCCCAAGGATACATCTCGCACAGAGGGAACGCGCTGGTTCAGATCATGGTCGGCGCTTCTCCCAATCATTCTTCTACTGTGCGCCGGACAGAAGCTGCAGTGGCGCTCGGCATTGACGACAACCATCAGCAGGCCATCACCTCCGGCTTCGCCACCGCATCCTCGGACCCACTCACAGTTTCGCAGTGGCTTCAGCACGAGCTGGTCGCCGTGGTTCCTCAAGCCTGCGTCGGAGGGCCTCAGCATTGATTTCTGGAACACTCCAGCACCCTTTGGACGTTCTGACGCCCGACGACACGCAAAGCGTCGTCATCTTCGTCCGCAATTTCGCCAGCGGGTGGCCATAGCGCCGCAGGGGATGCGCGGCGCGGCGGAGGACCTCGCGCTTCTCGCGAATTCGAGGGAGCACTCCTACCTCGCCTACCAGTCCCAGGCGCAGATCAGACGCGACTGCCCGCTCGACCCACCGGCGTTCTCCACCTCGGCTGGCGGTCTTCTTCGCCCCGTTCTACAAGGCCGAGCGGTCGTTCCAGGGCGAGCGGCGCGGCTGCGAGTCACGCGCGCACATTGGCAGACGGACGCGACCATTTTGAATGTTCACAACTACGACCTCCCACCTCGCGACCGCATCGACATCCTCACCCATTGGCAACAACTATGTGCTCATGCTGCCGGGCGTCCACTGGAGCGTCTTCTCGTCTTGTTCGGCGACTGCGACGTCGCCGAGCACCCGCCCAGGGGCCTCAACGTGCCCGATGATGCGGACGCCGCGCCCGCGCAGAGACACCAGTACCAGACCGTTCTGGCGCAACATCTTGAAAGAGGTGCGGGGGATCACGTCGCTCTCCACCGCGCGCAGGAACACGGTGACCACTTCGGAGCCCGCGACCAACGGCCGCTCCATC